AAGGATGCGGCGCGGGTCCGCTGATGATTAAACAAGTCCCAGCGACGCGAGCGCTTCATCGCGTGGAATAGTGGAGTCGCCGGGCAGAGGATGGATGGGGAAAGGAGATGTTGGAGCGCGGAGAGGAAACTGGGTCAATGTTTACCAGTACTTTCGTTACTTCCCCAGCTGGCTTGCTTGTAACGCGACTTCCTCATATATCTCGGTGCACCGCTCTCAAGTCTTTAATATCACATTACTTAGCACCCGCGACATGCAGTGCAGCACAAGTAAAGCGGATGCATTTCCCGATATAGCTCTCGCAAGATTGTCAGGTAGCCAGCAGCCACCCGCATTGTCCCCACACGCACCTCAGTCGCCGGGACCTGGAAGCGCCGTGAATCCGCCGTGCTGGTCGCTGGACTCCGATGTTCTTGATGTGATCGTCCGAGAGCATCGGGAAGTATAGGGATCAAGGACATTACACCCCAATCAAGGCAAGTCGACGATTCAGACACACCGTATGGTGAAAACGTAACTTTTTACAGGATGACTGTATCGCATGATACGAGCATCTTTCCATAGGTTTATGTACAGCTTCCTGAACAAGATACAATGAGAAACGATAAGACATTATACATGGCCAGTGTCAGACCGGGCTTAGCCCCAAACAAGCTTCTTCAAGGAATACTCAAACTGTTCCAGGTAGCCGGTGCTCTTCTTCGCGTCCACAAGGCTGATTATATCCTTTTCCTCTACCTTCAGTGTCCTGTCTTCATCCCTGCCGCCCTTCTTCATCTCATTGGCGATCCTCGCAATCTCATCGCATACCGATTTGACAACCTCGCTTTCATTATCAGGGTTGTCGCCAGGGGATGACGGAACGCTGCTTCTCGGTGGAAGCGCTTTGAACGCTAGGAAGCGGCCCGCAGTATCCTGCTTCTGGTCTTTCTTGGCGTCGTCTTTGCGCTGCTCATCGCTGGCGGCTCCGGAATCTAGAGCCCTTGTATTGCGCCGTACTAGCTCGCCCTTGGTATCAGCTCGATATCGTATGATGAGGCCAACGTTCTTGTCTGTGTCGGTGTGTCGTTGCGCCAGTGTGGACGTAACGTACACACCTCGCATGAGCCCTTGCACGTTCTCCAGCGGAATACGCTCGAACTCGCGTACTTTCTCTGTTCCCCAGTCAAGACGGCAGAAGTACAAGGCCTTTTCTGTTAGTAGAAGGACTGCTTCCTCAAATGTAGCAGTCTTGACCTGATTAACAGCAGTGGGTACGCTCAACGTCCATCCATGTACCAGGTCTTCGTCGCGATCCTCAATCACGATGCCAGCAGAACGTTCAATGGCCTGCTGCCGCACTTTGCGCACATCGATAAAGTAATCTGAGCTCTTCATATCGGCTTCGAATTCCGCGAAGATGGTATCGGTAGCGCGACCGAGAAGGTAGTCGATGACTGCTTGAGCAAAGTAGTCGTTCACGATGTTGTTGTAATATCTCGTGAGTGTCAGTCCGAAATCGGTAAGCGCACCAGTTATCTGCCGTTTCCGGGTACGCGTAAAGTCGCCCTTTAGCGCAGCAGTGCCAGCATACTGCCGGGATATGGCATCGCCATTGTCAGCCCAGAGGGTGTTGAACCACGATGTACTGGGGTCGTTCTGGAGATCGATGCTGTAACTGCCCATTGAGAGTTGTGCTTCAAGAGCGGTCCTGGCGCACGCAGATTGAACAACGTTGGTGCGGTCCAGACAGTCCATGCAGTTTGTACGCAAGACACCTGACTGCTTCTGCTGTACTTGATTTCCTGAAATCTCAACCCATCCAGAAGATTTCATGAAGGGTTCGATTGAATCCATCAGCTTCGAGACGTTTTCAAAGCGCATACCGCGGCACACGTTGTGGAAGTCGAACCATTCGAAACTCAGCTGCTTGCCCTTCCCGTCCATCCCGCCATTCTCATTGAGCGACTTCGCATGCTGTTGATAAAGCTCACCAATCTTCGCCTCAGTACCGTGTTTGTCTATGAGCGAATCACAGTATATTTCGCCATAGCGTGAAGACAGATCGGCAAAATGCTTCTTGAAAGCGCGAGCATTAGTCTCAAACGATCCCCAAGTAGATACTTGTGGTTTGAGGCTGTAGGGCGATTGAGAGAAGAACAGGGGAATTGAGCCTCGAATCTGTGTGAAAGAGAAGATCTTGTCTTGCGTCGTGCTAAAAGCCGGGTTGGATAGGATCTGTTCCGTCTCGACGCTGTTCGCGGTACAGCCATCGTCATCTGTACCCCGTCGCAGGTAGCGAAGCCCAGCTCTCTTGATAGACCGTCGCGAGATGAGTGTCAACAGGAAGTCTTTGCCGTCCACAAGAGAGGCATCGGGATCAGATGCTTCGCCACTGGCTTCCGTATTGGACTGTGAGTCCTCTTTTTGCTTTTCATGCCAGGACTGGAGCTGGATGTCATCTGGAGTGGCACTCGGGTCGACTACAAGACTATTCGACTGTCCATCAGCTGTCTTGATCGTGAAAGGTCGTTGACCAACGAAGCCTTGCAATACGGGAAGCACAAAAGCATGCTGGCCCACGTCAATGAAAGGTGCGATGATGTGCTGATTCCAGAAGAACTAGATGCTGGTGAGCAATCGTCCGTTACGTGGACAAGGTGTAAACTGACCAAAGGATCGAATTGTTTACACAGGGCGACACTAGAACTTGCTTGCTGCTGGCCAATACCGTGTGAGATGTCATAGTCGTATGAGAAGAAGAAGTTGCCTGATGAAAAGTACATTTTGGTGGTCTGCAGAATCTTTGGTAAGAGTGCTACAGTGGCTGCGTCCTTCTCGCCACCCAGGGCCTTGGGTATAGCTTCTGGGCTGACTGGTTCCGAAATGTCCTTGTCATCTGTAGGGATGGCATCCGGCTTAGACTCGCTCTTGGGTTGTTCTTCTTCCTTGGGCATCCCCGAGTCAACGTTCTGCGGCGCATTCTTTGCCGCCAGGTTCTCTTCTGAGCTCAGCCCTTGCAGACGCCTGTTGTCAGCACTCCAACCCTTGCGCGAGAACCACTTGTCAGCGAATCTGCCATATACACCTTTTCTTTGTATAACGTCCTCGGCCACACTCGTCTTGCGCTGCGCACTGCCTTTTTGTCCGGTGACCGAATCCTTGACCTCGCTTGGTGTGGACGATGAGTCCTCTACAAGCGAGTCCGTCACACTGGGCGCGCCATCCTCACTATCGCTATCGCTGTCTTCGTCTTCCAGGCCGGGCGCCCGGTTGCGGCGCTTCAGATGGTCACGCGTGGCTGCGATGGCCTTGTCGGCGTCGGCTTGCGAGGAGAGGGGGATGAGGGCGACATCGGTGATCTTGTAGATGGGCTTGCCGCGTATGAGCGCCACCTGTTCGCGATCGGATATGGATATCAGGAAGTACGAAGTAGCCACTTTGAGTAGTCCTTAGAGCAGGGTCAGCCCGTGTCGCAATGCGCCAATGATTGCGCGCGTACCGATGATGCCATGCGCTTCCACAGACACGGGCGCCGTATCTTCTTCGCGCCTGTCTTTCAACAGGGGGCCGACATTGCCCTTGTAGTCGACCTTGATGGCCTGCTGCGTAGCGGGCGGATGGTTGCGGGGCGGGGACGGCTGGAGGATGAGACCATCAACGGCGGCGAAGATGAGCAGCTTGCGCACAAGGGAGGGCATCTTGTCGGCGGCGCTATGCGCGTTCAGGGCTGAGTGACTCGACAAAGTGCGACATCAGGTCGCTTCTAGGCGCGTTGAGACGTCTGGTGGGTTGAGCCGCCATGACGTCGTGTCGCGCCACGCTAATCTCAAGATTTCTTACCCCACGCGTCCTCCTGTCAACCATCGTGAAATGCTCAATTAGCCCCCTTTTTGTCTTGCGTCATAAGTACTGGCATTGTATCAAAGGAATGTTCGCGACGACAGAAGTGCCAACCAACCACATCTACGCAAACTTCGTCTCAAACAGTCAGGCTTAACATCCTCACATTTGCTTAGTAGGTTGAGTCTTACGAAACCTGCATACCCTTTCAAGGGCCGTGCAAAGCCGAATCCTCGTGGCGAAGGTCTCGACTCACTGCTGAGAAGATATCGTAAAATCTGTCTTCCTTGCTTTCAAACTACGAGCACGTCCTCGAGTGTTCGAAACGGTCACAAGCACTTCCAACGCCATTGACTAGGCTGCAAAAGAGAAGCCAGTCAAGTGCAAATTATGTTATCACGGCTTTAACCAACATGTAATACACGGCTTTGGTGGGTTTTTGGGGTACTTCTGGCACAGGCTTCGTTCCTCGCTCAGGAAAAGCGGTGCAGGTCAGAATTGGATGCCACAAGTGAACGGGTGAAGGCACACTGGGGTGCACAGCGTCGATACGATCAACACTTGGAAATTGCGTACAGCCTATGAGGAGACCGATCCTGGTATGCTCTGACAGTTCCTACCTGTCCTTTGTGAGTCATGCTATTCAGCGTCACACCTTTTCGCCCACCATGCATGGGATCTGGCTCGGTATTCTAAACGGACAGCGCCTCTCGGATTTATGCGTTAAGTGCAGCCTGCGATGTAGTCATCCATACACTCAGTCCTCAGATCTGATCATGCAGCGATTTACTATTCGCGCGTTCGTATATACGATTGACATGAGTAAGTCTTCATACATAGCATGTCTTTGTGGGGCGTTTGCATTACGTCATCAGGCCGCGCGAATCGGAGTTAGACAACTAACTCCGGATCGGGCCGGAGCTCCTTCTCGATCTACGGGGTTTCTGATGTTACAATTACCTATTTGGTCTATAGCAAGTTCCAGACCGTACTCTATTCGTCGTGGATTACGCCTGGTGGACATCCGTACGACCCGTTCATGTTGTGCTAAACCGCTGGCAAGATATAAATTCGCCCGCCTTCCACTCCAGCTTGAGTATCACAAAATCCATATCCTCTACTTCAGTCGAAAATCTGCATATTATCCGTTACCACAATCTAATCGATTCAAAATAAATATGTCCTCGAACCCAGACAAGGAGATCGTGCTCGTAACAGGTACCAGCCCTCCGGACGTTTACCAAGCTCGTCATACTGATAGCCTCTGTAGGAGCAACCAACGGTATCGGTCTGGACACCGTCATTTATATTGCCTCTGCATCTCCAAAGTACCATGTCATAATCGGCGCGCGCAACATGTCGAAAGGCGAAACAGTCTTGAAAGATGTGCAAGCCAAGGCAGGCATCCAAGGCACACTCTCCCTCGTGCAACTCGACGCCAATGACGACGCTTCTATCCAAGCTGCTGCAAAGAAGATCGAAGAGGACTTCAGCAAGCTCGATGTGCTTATCAACAACGCTGGTGTATGTCCCGAGAGAGACGGCACTTGGCCCGACCGGGAGATAATGCGTACCACATTCGAAACCAACGTCTTTGGCCCTACCATCCTCACAGAAGCTCTCATTCCCGCAATGAAGCGCTCATCCAATCCGCGCATTATCAACGTGTCCTCTACTATGGGTAGCATCACTTTGATCTCCGATCACAGCTCTCCCTACGCCCAGGTTAAATACCCCGGATATCGCATGACTAAAGCTGCGCTCAACATGTTGACGGCATACCAGTACGTCCAGCTCAAGCCGGATGGCTTCAAGGTCTGGACGTACTGCCCGGGCTATGTGGTGACGGACATAGGAGACGACAAAGAGCAAAGGAAGGAACAAGGCCTTGAGAGTTCAGAGACGAGTGCGCTAGGATTGTTACAGATTGTGCAAGGCGAGAGAGATGCAGATGTAGGAGGGTTTGTCGGCAGATATGGACAGAAGTATGGTTGGTAGTGACTGTTAGCCTCTCGTGCGGTGGTAATCCAAAGCACAAATACTACATTGATGGATTCCCAGGGAAATGGGTTTCGTCGCATCTTAGCACGCTATGAGATCTTCCGGGGGCCTTCAATGTTGTTGATGGTTAAGGTGGTCCTTCCGTTACAGCCCTGGAGGCGACCTGCCCCGCTTTTCCCCTGGCAGCTCCTGTCACCGCGTCATCGCTTCGTGCAACGAACTACTGCAACGCGTCTTTATTCCATCAGAAGCGCGCACGAACGCGAAGTGACGCACGTGCAAACTAAGGATCGTACAGAATCTGTACCTGCTACATTGAGAACTCTCCGAGCCGGTACACTGAACCCACGTGGTGCGATTAACCAATCGCGAGACCCGACGAGCGCACGCGACGAGCTAACGCCAACGCGATGCATGGCGGGAACGACTTCAACATCTGAGCTTTAGTGCATGCCGTTGCGCGCTGACAGCATGGGTACGATGGCGTATAAAGGTCGGGCCTTGTTGCTCGCGGTCTTTTTGTTTGCTTTGTGCGTCTTCATCTTGAACGCAGACTTCAATTCAGAAGGAAAGAGCAACATGTTGGGATCATTGGTAAGGATGACTCCTGGTATGCGAGAACGAACGGATGCTAATGGTATAAGGCTTCTGCGAGCGTAATGCTCTTCGCTCGTATGTTGTCTTCTTGCGCGGGGATGCCCAAGCTGACAACACATAGAAAGCGCACTAGCATCCAAGTCTGAGATCCGTTTCAACCATATTCAAGTCGTCGGAACGCACAACTCCTACCATCGTGAAGTCTCACTCGCCGAGCGACCAGTCTTTGAGAAATACGTACCGTCTCCAGAAGACTACTACTACTCGCATGCAGAGCTCGACAATCAATTGGAGTATCAGTCCGTGCGCTCTTTCGAGCTCGACTTACATTCGGATGAAAAGGGCGGCCTGTACTATCCTCCTGTCGTATGGACGCTATCAAACTTGACAAACGCCACCACTCCTTACAACGGTGACATTTTGAAGAAGCCAGGTATCAAGGTGTTTCACGTCACAGACTTCGACCCCGATTCTGTCTGCCACACCTTCATCGACTGTCTCAAGCAGTTGAAGAGTTGGTCAGACGCAAACCCGAGACACGTCCCTATCACTATTGACCTCGAGCTCAAGACCGATGCGCCGGCATGTTCGTTAGGCGGTGTCTGCCCTGGCGAAGCGACAAACTGGACGCTCCCTCGCCTCTTGAACGTCGACGCGGAGATCCTCTCCGTATTCCCTAAGAAGCAACTCATTCGCCCTGATGACGTGCGCAAGAGTGGTCTTACCCTCGAGCAGTCCATCTTGCAACAAGGCTGGCCGAAGCTAAAGGATGTTCGCGGCCGCCTTCTGTTTTTCTTCGATAACGACCCAAAACCCAGTGACCCGAACTCGCCTCGCGAGCTCTACAAAACCGGCGCCCCCTCGCTACAAAACCGCACTGTCTTCACCAATGCGCTCGAAGGATCTTCCGATGCTGCATTCATCAAATACAATGAGCCGCGCAGCAATGGCACAGCAGAGATCCAGCGTCTTGTCAAGAAGGGCTACTTGATCCGAACACGTGCTGATATACCCATCGATACCATCTTGAATCGTACTACGGAGATGAGGGATCTAGCTTTTGAGAGTGGTGCGCAGATTGTCAGTACCGATTTCCCGGCTTGGGGCATGAGCAGTCGATGGGGCTGGGACTATGTCGCCAGGCTTCCCGGAGGATTGGCTGCGAGATGCAATCCTCTTATCGCACCGGAAGGCTGCAAGGACAAAGATCTGGAGTAGATGATGAGAGAATAGAAATGACTCGTATCACGCCGCGGTCAATATCACAATCTGACCACCACCTGTGACGCAATTTGAAGTGAAAGAACATCGGTCTCTTCTAGCACACGTCTCAGTACAATGAAGGATGCGTGATGTCGCTTGCGCCCGAGCTTAGCGACAGGCGAAGGCGGTGCATAGCAGGTGAAGATGAGCGTATACTTGTCTCGGTGAATTCACGACTAGGGGTGGCGAGTTCGAGCAAACACGTGGCCCGTGCGCTCTCTAGCCCGTCCGCTCCTGCCCGTAGTCTTAAGCAGTCTGCCCTCCCTCTCCTCTTCCCTTACTCTCCACCGTCTACTGACTCCGATTCTCAACCCGCACCTTTCGCGGAATGTACACTAAGCCCTTTATTGCTCCGCGCTCGCGCGCATCATATCAAATTGAACTACACCTACTCCCCTTCCTTCAACATGCGCAACACTTCTGCTTCAGCATCTCGACTGCACAGTAGCAATGCCTGTGGTATGGAGACTTCCCGTACTCAGGTATTGCGACCTGCCGTAGGGTTCCTCAAGCTGTTCTGTTCTGCATCTTGGAACAAGGAGGGGAGCCACCTCATCCTTCCTTCCTCGTGCGGCATTTTTCACAAGGTTTTCTCTTCGGTTTCGCGTTCGTGCGGACCTCTTCTACATCTTTCGCTGACTCGGCGGCTACCTACCTTCAACCTTGTATGGCCTTCGGGCTGATCCTCATGGCATCCGAGACAACGCCTTTCACCAACCTAGAGATTGGTGTCCCGCTTGTCCAGTCCCTGCGCCGAAAGCCGTGCTTGGCATGCTGCTTACCGGCCAGTCGACCTCTTGCCGCTGGTTCTGAGGAGCCTATATCAGTACTTTGCTGGGAGTACTGACGAAATTATCAGTATGGATCAAGCCGTATGGCAGTACTGATAAGTCGACCTCCAGCCGGCGCCTCTTGTGATAGGAACGGAGGGACATTGCAATGAGGTGTAAGACCGAGCCTGTCCCCCGTTTCTCGATAGAAACTTGGTTCGTTGCAGTTCTGCTACGCATTCTTTTCGTTTGCTCTTGCGGCTTGCTGCTGGGCTGAAGAAGGGACACGGTTATGTTTGCATGCAAATGTAAGTACTGAAGGTGGGGTAGATGTCAGGAGGGTGGTGCCAAAATCATAAAGTCGCCGTGGTGATATACACAGTATTCGGCCAGCTAGTTAGTATTCTGGTCGATTTGATGCATCTAGTCACATACCTCAGGTATACTGCAACGTACACAGTACTAGCGTATCGCAACTTTTCAAAGGACATGTGGGAGTGATCAAACATTTTCATTCTTGTGTAACAACACACCCCAACTGAGATCCTGACCTGCTTGTACTGAGATTGAGCCCTGGGAAATCCCTGAGCATGGTTCAATTGTTCACCACCACATCCAAACGCCCGTCCTTTGTGCTTGTTGCAGGCTCGACATCATTCTTCAAATACAAATAAAGGAACTGGTCTTTAAGACCCTGAAGAAGGCTTCGCGCGGCGACTGCATAGGTACCCTCCCCACCACGTGATTTTAGCGTTGCGGGACCTGTGCCTTTATGTAGCTCAAAGACCGCTGCCACGTACTTTACTCCGTCCTCGCCGCGCCGAAAGCGTTGTACGATGTATTCGGTATCGGGTAGTTTCGAAAGCATGCGCGTGCAATCTGGTACCATCAAAACCTCGAAGCAGGGCGGGATCTAGCGGATGTAGCTTACTGATAATTTCTTGGCAGATATGGTCATCTTCCGCCCACTGTTCAGCCGTCATTCCGTAGTGTCATTTCGTAATTTTCGGGCCGTTTCGATGTTGTAGTTTGCGTGGGTTTTCTTGCAGTAGATTCGTCTGGAGAATGATATCAAGATCGAAGTAGTGGGTATCTGGTTTGAGGAATGGAGCGACACTATGCAAACTTTCGCAGCTTTTATACTTACACTGACTCACGAACAGTATGACGATACCTGTTGCTGTGGATCTCCGGCCCTTCGAGTCAATCATGTTGGCGTCGCACAGGACGTGCGTGTAATCGCAAAGAACAAAGAACTTGAGCACCTTAAGACATGTGCGCTGTGACGCAGCATCGTAGAGTCAGACTATGAGAGGGTACATACGTTACCCAACGGCCCGCAGTCATAGCCGGAGGAGTGATTGTAGATCGATAAGGTTATTGCTAAAGTACCGAGAACCTCATCTCACACGAGTTCAATTGATCAACAAGTTGACGACACATCTTCCATTACTTCTATTCACCTCACCCCTACTATCACGATATCTTTCATCACAAACACCCCTCCTCATCCCACTACCAAAAGCCGAAGAACCATCAAACAAATACACACCTGGTATCAAGCGCAAAAGACACGTGTATATTCCCCATGGAAAACAAAGAAAGACACACACTCCATCCATATGCATGAAAACCAGTATTGACAAGGAAAGTAAGAAACACAACAGCGTGATTACAAAGTGAGAAAATTGTATGTGGGGAAAGTGGAAGTGGTATCGCAGAAGCCTTCTTGAAATACCGCCCGTGTAAATCCCATGAACGAACGCCACGCTTGCTCGCAATAAAAAAGCGCAAAATGGATGGTGAATACCGCGTCAAGTGCGTGGCAGCGGCGTTTTGTGAGTTGCTGTGCTGCGCTTGCCGTTTCGGTCCATGTCCCTCTCTTCTCTTTCCTTACTCGTGGCCTAGTACCTCAGCTTACCCAGTAAACTGAAGCAGTAAGCACACTCCCTCTCACTCTTCATTTGCACCATGAAGACCCTCGCTCTTGCGCCCAAGACACCACCCGTCTTGCCGACGCCGCCGACCTGACCGTCTTCATTCAAGTGGTCTTCCCATACACTGACAGCAATACCACTGCGTGCGACGCGCTCGAAGCACGTCTCTGACAAAGTGACGTCAAGTAGTATTTCGCCGTGTTTCTTGCCTGTAAGAAGAATGCGTCGCTCCTGGGTATGATCTCTGGTACCAGGTGCGCGCTGTCGTGGGTTCGTAGGCGAGGATGGCACGCTTGGGTTGGGTGAGGGCAGCATTATTGTTAAGCGTGCGCTGCCCATGTCACGCCATTTCTTGAGTGACTCTCGCTCGTAAAGCCTGCACTTGGTGTTCGTAATTCCAGCTGGTGCACCGGGCGCGCGTACAATGTCGCCGGTAGGTGTAGATGCGCCTGAGCCGCGTGGGGAGTTGGAACCGCTGTCGAATGAGGAGCCAGTACTGCGGGATCCGAGTGTTGAGTTGCGGATGCTAAAGACGCCGCTCTTTCCGAACGAGAATCGGCCTAATGCAGAGCGGAGAGCAGAGTTCATGGTTCCAACAGAAGACTCGGTCGCTGCGGAGATAGAGGCAGCGCGTGTGCTTGACTTGCGGTAGCTGCTTCTCCTACCTAGCGTACCCCCGAGCCAGCCAGAAGACTCAGCGCTTGTCCTAGCCGCGTTCTGACGGTCCATCGCCTCGGCCCAGCTCGATTGTCCGTAGGGGCCGCGCGCGTTCTGGAGCGCGATGTAGGTGGGGTTGTTGATACGAGATTGGTTGATCATGGCGTATAGTTGGGCGCACTCTGCTGCATTGCGACTTCTCAACATAATGTTGTTGCCAGCTTTGATGCGCGACTCTGCGGTGGGTGGGGAGCGAATGGAGATATCAATGGCCGTTGATTTGCGCAACGGCACCAGAGGGGTAAGCTCAACCGCAATAAGGGGAGCACCTCCCTCGGGAGTGATGATCTCGTCGCCGTCGGCCAGGAAAGGCTTGGAGTGGTTGATTGTGATCTCGAAGACCTCGATCTTACCTGGCGTAACGACGATGCTACATTCGTCTGGATGCAAACTGTCCCATCGGCCAGCATCGGACCAAGCGAAGATGGATGCGATGGTCTTGGAGGCTTTGCCGGAACCCTGCGGAACTGCTCTGTATGGAGTGTTCGACGCGGATTGCGATGGGGTGATAGTGCCGTTGGGGAGTGTATAGATTGATGCAGGAGGTGAGACTTTGGGAAACTTCTTGGTCTCCTCCTCTGTCTTCTCAACCTTCTCTGATGAAGTGGGACGACTGGCTTCTCTACCGGTGGTGTATGAGCGTCCAGGATACCCGCGTGGCCCAAGGTATCCGATCGGCATAAGTGGCATGGGAACGTCGTCATCTAACTCGTCTTCTGACGACTCCGAGGTGAGGCTTTCATCATCTTCATCGTCCACCTCATCCTCAGAAGCGGTGTCCTCCTCGCTCTCGCTTGACTCCTCTGTGCAGGTAGATGGCTCATACTCATGCTTCAAGGGTGACGATGACCGGCGTTTGTTCTTGAAACCAGGTAAAGTAGGAGTGAATACTGGTGTTTTGCTTCCCTTGAGTGTCACAGGGGTTGCTGGACTGGGCGATCGATGCGGCGGTGTTGGAGGCGGCTCTTCGACCTCTGCTTTAGGCTCTACGATATCATCGACAACTATGTCGTGTTTCTTTCCTTGCAGCTTCGATGGCGCGGAGGCTGAGACTTCCCGGAGATTGTCGTCGTCATCTTCTTGATCCTGTGTTGGCGTAGAGGGCCGGCTAGATTTCCTTTGTCTTGGGATGCTCGGTAATTCTAGCGAGGGAACGGATGAGACTCGTCTGTGTGCCTGTGGACGTTGCGGCGAGGGAGGCGAGCCGGGTGGTGAGATCTCGGAATCCATGGTGGTAGTATTGTTGTCCTCTTCGGAGCTGTACGATTCTTCAGAGTCGTCGGAATCACCAACTTGCGAAGATGGCATCCAAACACTGTAACTCTTTTGGGGTCGCTTTTTAGTGGATTTCCGGCGTGGCTTGGACTCTGGTACTGGCGCTTGGATTTTCTCTGGCTCTACTGGATCTTCGAGAGTGATCTGACGGGACGGCCGTGCTGAATGAGGAGAAAGGGTAGGGTTCTTAGACAGCCTCTTCGCCCTTGTCCGCTTCAGACTCGAAGGCGATCCAGTGCCCTCATTTCGCACCGCC